AATTTCATAATTCGTGTCCGGTCCATATCTTTCTTGGGGAAAACTTACTTCTGAAAAATCCAGCGGGGGGTATTTTGTCCCGTTTGGACAGTTCTAGTTTTATTCCCAAGTAACTATAAGTCCTACCTGAACCAAATTTAAACTTGCATGGATGATGCATCTAGGGATGGACACTACCAGACTTGCTTCGGATGCTGGATCTTGGCTTATATTTTCATTCCCAAGTAACTATAAGCCCTGCCTGAACCAAATCTGCATGGATGATGCATCTAGGGATGGACACTACCATACTTGCTTCGGATGCTGGATCTGACCTATATTTTCCAAACAAGCAATTCAGCTGCATCACTATTCAAGATATTCTGATCAAATTTTATACACATACAAATTTTCATGTTGCTTTACTAATATATCCTCGGCGGGGCATTCAGGCCTCTTGATTCTCAAAATCAGGGGCCGATATTCGGCCCTGTTCCCAATGCAAAAAAGGTACCTTTTTTCCCAAAAGAAAGGTGTAAATTTCCCAATTCCCATAGCAAAAATATTAACCCATGTCCTGCCAGGGATTCTGTAGATAACAGCATCTGTGAGTGCCGAGCTGATAAGGAGCTCCAGCCGCTGACTGTGCCAGGCTGATTTATAAATTTCTGTCAAATTGCATATGTGTAGATTATCTTAATTATCACCATTTTATGATTGCCTTTTCTGATAGCAATCTACACAAATTTTTTTCAGAAAAAACAAAAGAAGAAAATTGTGAAGAATTTTTAGGTCACCTGAGTAAACTCAGGTGACCTATTGCTATCCGTTTTCGTCCGTCGTCGTTCGTCGTCCGTCGTGTGTTAACATTTGAACATTTTCAGCTTCTTCTCTGCAACCACTGAACCAATTTCAACCAAATTTGCCCTAAAGCATCTATGGGTGAAGGGGAACAAAAATTGTGAATTTCATGATCCCTGCCCCCCTGGGGCCTGAGGGGTGGGGCCAAAACCACTAAAATTAATGCAGTCTTTAAAAATCTTCTTCTTTACTCCTGGACATCAAGCAGTCAAACTGTTTGCATGATTGTAATCAGTATTGAGTCCTTTACCAAATTCATGGCCCTGGGGTCAGGGGTTCTAGTGCTAGGGCGGGGCTAAATAAGTATATAGTGAAAATGCATTATTTCTTTGGAAATCTTTTTCTCTACTCCTGGGTATTAAATAAACCAACTAAGTACATAGTTATGATGAGCAAGAGTGCCTCTACCAAAATTGTGAATTTTATGGCCCCAGGGTCAGGGGTTCTGGTGCTAGGGCGGGGCTCTATTGATTATATATAGTGAAAATACATGATTTCTTTGAAAATCTTCTTCTCTGCCCCTGGGTATTAAATAAACTAACTAAGTGCATAGTTATGATGAGCATGAGTGCCTCTACCAAAATTGTGAATTTTATGGCCCCAGGGTCAGGGGTTCTGTCATTAGGGCGGGGCTCTATTGATTATATAGTGAAAATACATGATTTCTTTGAAAATCTTCTTCTCTGCCCCTGGGTATTAAATATACTAACTAAGTGCATAATTAGTTATGATGAGCATGAGTGCCTCTACCAAAATTGTGAATTTTATGGCCCCAGGGTCAAGGGTTCTGGTGTTAGGGGGAGGGGCTCTACTGATTATATAGTGAAAATACATGAATTCTTTGAAAATCTTCTACTCTGCTCCTAGGTATTAAATAAACCAACTAAGTGCATAGTTATGATGAGCAAGAGTGCCTCAACCAAAATTGTGAATTTTATGGCTCAAGGGTTCTGGTGTTAGGGCGGGGCTCTATAGATTATATATAGTAAAAATACATGAATTCTTTGAAAATCTTCTTCTCTGCTCCTAGGTATTAAATTAACTAAGTGCATAGTTATAATGAGCAAGAGTGTTTTTACCAAAATTGTGAATTTTATGGTCCCAGGGTCAGGGTTTCTGGTGTTAGGGCAGGGCTCTATTGATTATATATTGAAAATACATGAATTCTTTGAAAATCTTCTTCTCTGCTCCTAGGAATTAAATAAACTAAGTACATAGTTATGTTGAGCAAGAATGCCTCTTTTAAAATTATGAATTTTATGGCCCCAGGGTCAGGGGTTCTGGTGTTAGGGGGGCGGGGCTCAATTGATTATATAATGAAAATACATTAAATCTTTGAAATTTTTTTTCTTTGTTTCTGGGTATAAAGCAGATGAACTACCTTTATAGTTATGATGAGCAAGGGCCCTAATCTTGCAGAATTGTGAATTTCAAAGCCCCAGGGTCAGGGGTGGGGTGGGGGCTCTACTTATATACTGAAAATGAATTTTTTGTTTGAAATCTGCTCTTTTGTATTTATAAAACATTTATTTTTTGATATTAAGGGTGCCTTTTTGAAATTTGTTCAATGTGTGGACCTAGGGTCAGGGGTTTATGTCACAGTGTTAGGGGCACTACTGGTTAGTTGGAATGCATTTTTGTTCCCCTACCCTGCATATGGGTATTCAGTAACCAAGCTAAGCAACTGCTAAGTGTATTGTTATGATGATCAATGGTGCCTCTTTCAAAATTGTGAATGTCATATAGCATCTGGCTTAAAGCATGAATCAAATTCAATAACTGGAAAATTGTTGCATAATGCTCAGGTGACCTATAAGGCCCGTGGGCCTCTTGTTTTTAATATTTCAACTCAGTAAAAAACTACATAAGCTTTAAACAAAAATTTTATATTGAAAATCTTTAAAATACGAAATTATTGGTATTTTAATGTCACTATTTATTTCATAGTAGCTTTTTGCGATTACTATATTGTAAGAGTCCTTCATGTTACTACTGGATATACTTTTACATTTTTAAACATAAAATTATGCTTTCTACAAGTCCTTTTTTTGACATCTGTTTAATGGACATGGAAATCCGATTTTGTGGCCCTGTTTTTTTCTTGTGAAATATTGAATATATCTGCCGTAAAGTGATTTTTTTAACCAAATCGTCTTCAAAACAGTTTTTAGAAATAATAAACTTTAAAAGTCAATCAGTTTGCGATCATTTGACATAGTTGTATCGATTTTTTTCACCTTTGAAACTGGTGATGCATATCAATGTTTTTAAATCCACGTGTCCTGTGAAAAGTGATTGCTCCAACATAATATTCATGTCCATGGAACCAAATCATCAGAATTCTTCATCGGAAGCATAATTTAGATATATTTTACCAAATAAAACTTTAATTTTCTGCTTGCTATTACTGTTAAAGCGTATTTCCATTGAGCATCTTCTCCGTTACCTCCATCTTGTTTTCAAACTTTCCCCAAAGCATGCGATCAACAAGTTTCATTTTCTAAGAATACATAAAGGAATTTCCCATCAAGAGCCAATCATATCATTAAACTACTGGAAAATCTATATCTATTTTTAGTAAACAACATTGAAATGAATGGATTCCCTTTATTTCATTGGTTAAAATATGAAAGAAAACGTCGTGTGTAAAGTCAATATACTGACAACCGGCACAGAACGGAAAACATGGCAGCTCTCACTTTATCGACGACCGGCACTGTGATGGTGTTATCTGGGTCGTCGATAAAGCGATGACCTGCAGGACAAGGGTTAATTAAAAAATAAAAGTTGCAGGACAAGGGTTAATTAAAAAATAAAAGTCCATGAAACTTAATCGCAGAAAAAAACTCAAACAAACACACTTGCAAATGAAAGTGAAACTGTATGACTGTTTTATTAGTTCGATCCAAATGCATTCGTAAACTGGTTCAGGGAACCAGGTTATTATTTATACAAAAATGTGTACTAAGTATGAATGCAGAGTGTCTTGTCATGTAGTTTCGACAAAAAACATCAATTTGGTTTCAAAAATAGACATTTCATTTAAACATTAGTACGCTGCACCTAGGAACATACCCACACTTCAGCATGTTCTGTCTCACGCTGTATTGGTAAGCAAAGTTGTCCATGTGATCGAGGAAATTCGGGACTATGTGACTAGCGACTGTCACTCAGAAAGACAGATAACCAAAATATCAACACTCAAAGATGGTTATGACGAAGCTAATGTACTTTCATAAATAGCCTACGTACCCATGTTTGTTCTGTTTATCTGTTTATTCAAAACCAGTTAGATTGATGACAAAATGCTAGAAAAGCAAAATTTGAGGATTTTTTAAATGAATGTTGGTTATCCAACTTTTCCCAAACTGACGATGATTTTCCCAATTTGATCGGCCCTGGCCCCAGTCCCAAAAAGTGGCATGAGAGCCCTGGCATTTATGTCCTATGGACATTTTTTTTTTCTGTTTCTTTGTTACTTATATAACAAAAAGTTGTCTTTAGAAAAAAAACTTGCTAAAATTTTATTTTTAGTTTGTTCCATAAATGATAAATGCTATAAAGAAATGGAATTTTGTATTTGAAATTTGAATTACCAATTTAGTCGATCATTGATCGATTAAGTGTCTCCGATTTTGACCGATTATCAATTATGAAATTTTCCCGATTATTCAACACTATGACCTACTGATGGTATTTTATAATTATATTGTAATATCTTCAGTCTTAACTGGCTAAGAATTACCAAACTTTGCAGGATGATGCATTTTGGGTCTTATGATACTTAGAGTTGGAGGCTTCAAATAGAAGTGAAAGATTGTACAATTTATCAGAAGAGCGATTCAAGGCCCTTGGGCCTCTTGTTCTTAATACTTTGGAAAAGTGGCAATCTTGTTGTGTATAAATGAAAAATATTAAAACTATAATCCCTGGGCCTCTTGTTGATAGATAGGTACTGGTAGACATCATTGTTCTAAATGATATCAATGCATTTTCAACTAAACTAAGCAGTTTCACTTTTTCATAAATTCACAGGGCCAAAACAGGCGCTGTGTGAAACTTGTTCTTTATAAAAGATTTTGAGTAGCTTTTCTTCGTTCGCTTTAGACTTATAAACATATAGAATTACAGTCTCATCATAGTTGTATTTTTTATTCTAGATTGTTGTGCTCTACTTGCCAATATTGGTGACAAACAACAGCCTTGTGGAGCCTGACCTCCACAGTTCCTTCTCTTCCATCACATGGACAAAAAGAAATTGCTACAACCAAGCAAGAGACCACGGTTAGAAGCTCCAACAAGTATGTCATTCATGATTTCATATTTTGGTCACCCGAGTTACTTAGGTGACCTATTGCTATTTATTTTCGTCGTGCGGGTGTGCGTTGTGCGCAAAGGAGTGTATATGATAAGAGCCAATTTTGGCCCCCTAAAAATCAACATTTTAGAATGACATTCAGATATGTTTAATTGATATTTATTTTGTAGAAGAGATTATATTAGAAATATTTCCAATATATTTTTCACATTTATATGCACTCACTAGCTGTAAATGACATTAGAAATAATGCTATTTTTGCTATCTAGCAAAAAAGCCAAAAATATGCCTTTTTCTTGATGTTTTTACTTATGGGAAACAAAGAGCGCAGTGTAGAACATACATAATTTTTCTGTCACTAATTAGTATTGGATAGATACATCTTTGGTAAAAATATCAATCTTGTTCTAGGCTGCGCTCTATATTTTCTGGAAGAAAAACTGCTTGAAAAAAAGCAGTTTTATTACAAATTATGCTAAAAACGTGATTTTTATGATGTCATATTTCTAAAATAACGGAATTTTGATCAAAATGAAAATGACCAATATAATTTGCATATATAGCTGTACAACTTAAAGCTATATATATAAAGTAAAATTTAAGGGGCCAATTGAGACATTTACCATATATCGCTCTTTTCACATTTTCGACTTCTTCTCAAGAACAAGGAATAAGGAATATTAAAGTGAAAAATTAATGACACCTTAAAAATCTTCTTCTCCAGAACCACAGGGTCAAAAAAGATGTATCTTAGGCCAAAACTTCTTTATTTACTGTTTTACTGGAAATTTTTTCAAAAAATTGAGTCGGGGGGTCGAAATAAAAATAAGAATAAAATCTTCAAATTCAAGCAGTCGGTCAGAAAAATAAAAATAAAACTAAAAAATGTAACAATTTTTTTTATTTTTTAAATTAAGAATGGAATTGTTTTATTACCTTAATTTGGCAGAAAATGGTGTTATTTGAAAAAATTAGTGCATGCAAAACAATTTTATCATATATATATATATATATATATATATATATATATATATATATATATATATATATATATATATATATATATATATATATATATATTTTGGTATTCAATAAATAATAAGATTTGAGGATTTATGATAGATATGTCCTTTATCTATATTCAAAATATGGTTAAGATCTATTAAGTGTATGCCCTTGCGAAAGTACGATTTTATGAGGCATCTCATTGTAAAATATATGTAACCTGTACATAAAAACACGACATAATTTATAAAATACATTCTCTTGATAGTTAATGAATAATCACACTACACTAAACAAAGGATATACATTGACATTAATCGACTATTTAAAACCTGTAAATTATATTCCGTTTAATAATAAAATGCATTTTTCATTGTTAAAAAATTTCTCAATCTGCCTCTCACAGCACATGAAATACGTCATTTACAAAAATGACCTCATGTTTACAAGTTCATCCCGATCAGTGTCTTTCTCTGATCTAACTCTGGGTATTAAATAACTAGAGTAAGCATTCTAAGTGTATAATTGTGATAAGCAATGGTGCCTCTTTCAAAATTGTGAATTTCATGGCATCTGGTTTAAAACACTCACCAAATTCAATTTTTGGAAAGTTGTTTCATGATACTCAGGTGATCTATAAGGCCCATGGGCCTCTTGTTTAGATATGTTACACGTTTAAAAATGCATCTTGGATAAACATACAGGTTTAAATAAGTTACATTTTGTTCTTCACAAAATTCGAAAGTCTACTGTTGATTCCCATTCTTTTATCACGTTCATCAAGGGTATCAAAATTGTAAATGAGAACTACCATTAACGGAACAGAAAAAGTGACAGTCCTGTCAACATACATTCTCTAGTCATTTCTTTAATTTCTTTTTAACTCCAACTAAACTTCATCATCCGATGTACTCTTATTGTCGATGAGTTTCCTATTTGAGCTATGGTTGACTTGCAGAAACTATCATGTATAAGGACAAAGTATCCTCAATTTTTGTAAAAATCGACATTTCTGCATTTTATACACCTCCGAAACAGTTGATAACAAAGGTAAATTGATTGGATGATAATAAAGCCTTTCAATAAAGCAGCCAATCAGAATTGCTGACTTATTTGCACATAATTATACCCCCCGCAAACGAAGTTTAGGGGGGTATATTGGAATCACCATGTCTGTCTGTCTGTCCGTCTGTCCGTCTGTCTGTAGACAAGATTTTGTCCGGACCATTACTCAGAAACTATTAGAAGGATTTGGCTGAAAATTTGTACATATATTATTCACCATATGAAGTTGTGCACCTGAAATTTTCATCCTGATTCAATTATTATTTTGAATTTTACAGGTGTTTTTTCATTTTTATTTTGTGGTTTTGTCCGGACCGTTTCTCAGAAACTATTGCAAGGATTAATCTGAAAATTTGTACACTTATTATTCACCATATGCAGGTGTGCACCTGGAATTTTCAACTCTTTTTGTTAATTTTTCTGCATTTTACAGGGTTTTTTTATTTTAATTGACTTGTTCATTTTGGGCTCATGTATAAGGTTTGAGACATAGAATCTAGAATATCTGTACAAAAACGTGAACTACAGCTTAAAACTACTCATAAAAACTTTAAAAAAAAGAAACATCATCAAGTGTTAAAAACAGTTTTTACATTGCACAGAAGATAATGTAATTATGTTCCCCAAACGAAGTTGGGGAACATATTGTTTTTACTCTGTTTCTTATTATTATTATTATGTTCCCCAAACGAAGTTTGGGAACATATTGTTTTTACTTTTTCTGAATTTTTTCTTTGTTCTCCGGTACTTTTTTGTCCGCGAGTGTTCTCGTAAACTACTCATCCGATCTAGGTGAAACCTTTTTAGGGTCACTAGGTATGTTATGTAGATGTGCGGAACGAAGGTCATTTTGCGCGCACGTGCGTGCAGGTGCGCGCACGTGTAACACGTGAAATGACCAATATAATAGATTTAGCCGTAACTTTTTAAATATTGGATGAAATGCTTTGAAACTCATTATATAAGGATATAATAGTAGTATAGACATGATGACATGGTCAAAATAGCAAGATCTCACGCGCATGCAGGTGCCCTTCGCTGCGATTGGCTGAAACTTAAAGTCTAAATATCTATTTTGTTTTCTGACAAAATCCTTTGAAATTTTGAACATAGTCTTACATAATGAAGATCTACAGCATGATATATAAGAATAATCATGAACGCACGCACATGCACGTGTGCTGCAATCTGATTGGCTAAAACTTTAAATGCCTACAACTTTCTTGGTTCTCAATAATACAGGGTGAAATTTCAAATATGAATAGATATAATGATTACCTACATTATACTACTATCAAAAGTAAATACATGGACGTGCATGCACATGCGACCGCACACAATGTATTAAAAGACAGTATACTTGAGTGTTTGATGTTCATGCAGAATTAAGAACTTCTAAATGTCAAGACATGTAACATACTGAAGCATGCAGATCTTTTTACCCTTGACCTTGAAACTTAGGTCAAGGTCACTGGGAACCTGAATAAAATGTTGATATTAACTATTTACCAAAATCACCTTGACCTATGAACTTGAAATCGACCTTAACCTTTGTCCTTGACCCAAGGGTAAAAAGAAACATGAAGTACATGTACATGTATCTAGAAACACCTTTCAGAGTTTATTTCGGTTGACAGGTTAGAAGTTAAAGAGGTGGTGGTTTTTAATGACCTTGACCTTTCATCCAAATGTCACAATCAATCTTCAGTTCTTGGAATAAGATACAAGATTCAACTCCAACGTTGAATAGGTTAAGAATAAAAATAACCCCCCTCCCCACCCCCACCCACACCCCCACCCCCCCACCCCCCCCCCCCCCCACACACACACACACACAAACAAATCAAATTAATGGCAACGTAGAGAATCACTGTTAAACTCAAATAACACCTCGGACCCACATAAAATTTCAAAAAAACTGCAGAAAAGAGCTCGAGGAAAGTGTATTAAAATATTTCATTTGAGTTTCCAAAGTATATAGAAATTATTAATTTATACAGAAAAAATTACAAATCCTGTCGTGTTTAAAATTAAAGTGCAGATGACCAAAGTTGGCATATAAGCCTTTTATAGCCTATTTATTCAGATGTCGTTAATAGCATTCGATTCTACTGATTTGAAATAATATTTTAATACCAAGCATCCTTTGTTTAATTTACCTTTGAAATTTATTTGAATTTTTTTTTAGAATTACGCAATCCCCAGAAATAGCAATTTTCGGTATATTAAAAATCAATATACATGTACGCTCCTTCGTAAAATAATCAGATATTTGCATTCATGAAAAAAATATTAATAAGGTGTTAAACAATATAGGTCACATTAGCTGACACGAATGTCTTTTTAAACATCTCTTGTAAAACCCAGAGAGTAGCCCCCTATGCATTGGAAAAAATGAATAGTTCCGGTCAAAAAACCTTTATATATTTATTTACAAAGTATATAAAATTTACCAGGCACAGGTATCAGAGTTGTCAAAATGGCCTGAGAGGAAATATTAAAAAAATTCTGAACAGAAAGGAAAATCCCTTTTCCATGTATGGAACTACTATTGAATATAACCAACCCCGAGCCCGATCTTAAAAACACGGTAGTAGAAAATTAGAATTTCGCTGTTTTATTAATTTTTTTGCTTTTAACTTCTTTTCTTGAAGCCAAATGATATGAAAACACTCAAGAAGGTGAAAAGACTTCATACTGTTATCTGAATTAAAATCAAAATTGTAATCTGAACAATTAGTCTCCTTATTATGTTCCCCAAACGAAGTTTGGGAACATATTATGTTCCCCAAACGAAGTTGGGGAACATATTGTTTTTACTCTGTTTCTTATTATGTTCCCCAAACGAAGTTGGGGAACATATTGTTTTTACTCTGTTTCTTATTATTATTATTTTTCTTCTTCTTCTTCTTC